GGTAGATAGGGGGGTAGACAGATTGACAGAAGGTAAGTAGGTAGATAGATAGATAGATCGATGGATGGATGGATGGATGGATGGATAGATAGGTAGATAGATAGATAGATAGATGATGGATGGATGGATGGATGGATGGATAGGGGAAAAATGGGTGGGCTCTATCTATTTGTTCGACCAACGCAAGCGGTGCAGATATTACATACTTCGCCTTGATATTGTTGTCGTATTGTTAGCTATTGTAAAACATGTTGCTGAATCTCCATTTTTCTCACTGAGAGTGTTTCTGGAGTCTGAGGGTTTACAGTTCAGTTCAGTTCATTCGTATAGTGCTTTTCACAATGCATATCATTTCTAAAGCAGCTTTACAAAGAGCAAACCCCCAGAGAACAGGCCTGTCGACAGCGGCGAGGAAAACTTCCCCAAGAGATATACACACTATATGTCATTAGTGGTGTCAGCAAAGCCACTGGAGAGAAGGGTGTTTTCCTGCAGGTTATTCCTTGATTAAACACTCAGCGTAATCTCTGCAGATGAAGAATAATGACTCGCGAATTAAACATCCTCTAAGAATCAATCTGTTGAATAGCATATTATTATTTAATCCCTTTATGATTGCCTCGAAATTCCATTAGCAAACCTATTTTGATATTTTAGGATGATCTCTCACTCAAAATAAGTGACCCTGGACCTGAATAAATAATCTTTCCATTGATGTATGGTTTGTTAGGATAGGACAATATTTGGCTGACATATTTGAAAATCTGGAATCTGAGGGTGCAAAAAAATATAAATATTGAGAAAATCATCTTTAAAGTTGTCCAAATGAAGTTCTTAGCAATGCATGTTACTAATCAAAAATTAAGTTTTGATATATTTACGGTAGGAAATGTACAAAATATCTTCATGGAACATGATCTTTACTTAATATCCTAATGATTTTTGGCATAAAAGAGAAATGTATAATTTTGACCCATACAATGTATTGTTGGCTATTGCTACAAATATACCCCAGCGACTTAAGACTGCTTTTGTGCTGCAGGGACACATATAATTTAAAGAGGCTTCATTGTCAAGAATCAGGTTGAAATGAACACTAAATCAGATGGCAAGCCATTAATGTGTGAATATGTGGGTTTTGTGCAGAGTGCTGGACTTCCGGAGAGTTCCACCGGTGACGGGACGCTTCATCAACGTGACGGGAGAAATTCTGTACCTAACACACAATGAAGAACTGCGCAGTGTGTTCTTCACCTCTCCAGGTTGACTTTACCAGTCACAAAACAAAAACATTTTATATAATACATACTACTGTAATTGCCACCAAAAGTTTGGGGTAAGCACTTTTTTTTTTTAATTAATACTTTTATTCAGCAAGGATGCATTAAATTGATTAAAAGTGAGAATAAAGATATTTATAATGTTACAGAAGATTTCTATTTCAAATAAATGCTGTTCTTTTGAACTTTCTATTCATCAAAGAATCCTGAAAAAATATAGGACTATATCCACAAACATATTAAGCAGCACAACTGTTTTTTAACATCGATAATAATAAGAAATGTTTCTTGAAAAAACTGGAATGATTTCAACATTGATAATAATCAGAAATGTTTCTTGTGCAGCAAAGTAGCATATTATACTGATTTCTGAAGATCATGTGGCACTGAAGACTGGAGTAATGATGCTGAAAATACAGCTGCGCATCACAGAAATACATTACAGTTTAACAGAGATTCACATAGAAAACAGCTGTTTTAAATCACAATAATATATATTTTTTTAAATAAATGCAGCCTTGGTGAGCAGAAGAGGCTTCTTTCAAAAACATAAAGACCCCAAACTTTTATATACAGTACCTCTAATTTTTGGGCCTGTTTTATATCAGAGCGTGAGTTTTTTCTTTGACCAGCCAACAACACATGTTTCTTCGCCAAGTGTTTATACGTGTGTAAGTCGGAGTATGCGGTGTGTGGTCATCCGGATCTGCTGGAGGGCTCCATGTCTGCTTATCTGCCGGGTTTGAGCATCGCCCCTCGAATCTCCATCCCGAACCCCTGGATCCGCACCTACAGTTTCACCGGGACAGAGGAGTACGCTGGGACTGCCAAACACACTAAATCACTCTTCACTTTCTTCTGTGACTTAATAAGAACAGGAATGTGTTTTAAGAAAGTTAAAAGCATCCATTTAGATTCAGGTTAACTTGATTTATACAGAAAATAAAACAATATTCCAGTCCGACCAACACTGGTTGTTTTATGTAATGTAGAATGTCCTTATTTGGACCGAGAAGTCCAGCTCTTGATCCAAACTGTGGCTAAGAAGCAAAAATGTTTGTCATGCTCACAAAAGGGTCTAAAGTTCAGTAATGTTCAGATGAGTCCAACAGCTTGAAGCAATTAACGTCTTCTCTTTCTTTCCCAGGTGGGAGGTCAACCCGTTATACTGCGATAACGTCAAAAAACTATATCCCTACAACTCTGGGAACAGACTGCTCAACATTATCGACATGGTGATATTTGACTTTCTCACAGGCATGTTAATATCTACACATGATGGAATTAACTTCATGCCAAAATTTGACGTAAAGCGATTTCACACCAGACAATCAAAGTGGTGTGTTGATGGTTGGTTTTGCACCTAAATAAGCCTCGCATTAACAATAAGGAAACTTTAAAGCCAGTGTACTGACCTTAATTTTCCTTCATATTTTAGGAAACATGGACAGACACCACTATGAAGTTTTCACCAAGTTTGGAGATGATGGTTTCCTGCTCCACTTAGACAACGCCAGAGGGTATGTGCTCATCTGGACATGAACACTGAACTCATTTCTGCAATGCACTGCAGTTTTCACTGTTGCGATCAGAGGCGGACAGTAACTAAGTACATTTACTTGAGTATTATTTTTTCTGGGAACTTATGACTTTAACTTCACTACATTTGAAAGACAAATATTGTACTTTTCACTCCACTACATTTCTATCAAGGTCCTCGAAGTAGAAAGTCATTACTATGTGGCAGCTTTGAAAGTCAGTAGGTGATTTCTTTCTTCTCTAAAACGTGACTTTCTTTTTTTTCAGTTTATCAGTAATCACTCTTGTAGGACTACATTAAATGATTTCCCAGCATTTTTTGAACACTGACCAGCTGCAAATGTGATATTTATTTACAATTCAATAATAAGAAGTTAATATTGTGGTATATATTAGACACAATATTGTCTGATTTTG